CAGCAGGAAGGAGAGAGAGAGAGGGAGAGGGAGAGAGAGAGAGAGATTGAAGGAGAGGAGGAGAAGGAGGGGGGAGGAAGGGGAGAGGAGGGAAGATGGTGAAAAGAAAGAAGAGGAGGAAAGAAGGAAAATAAGAGGTCCCAGGGAGTTTGTAGAGAAATGATTACCCTGGTCCACTGCTGGTGGGAATTTCAATGCTGCGGACTTGGTGGAACAATAGTTTGGTAGTTCTTTGAAAAGGTAAACAGAATTACTATATGGTCCAGTAACTGCAGTCATGGATACATACCACACCACACACACACCCCACCAAATCTGAAAGCACACACTCAGATACTTAAACACCAATGTTCATGGCAGCACAATTCACAACAGCCAAGAGGCACAAGTAGCCAAGTGTCTACCAACAGATGATGGATAAGCAGAGGTAGCATGTATACACAGTGGGATACCACTCAGCCAGTAAGGAATCAGGGTTTGCATATATGCAGCAACAAGAGTGAACCTTGAAAGCATGAATGTAAGTGAAATAAGCCAGACACAAAGAAAAGGACGAGTGTTGGATGCCTCCACTCATAAGATCTCGAAAGTAACCACATTCATAATGGAAAATGTCAAGTGGCTATTACTAGGCGGGGAAGCAATGAAGAGTTACTACTATTTAATAGACACGGTTTCTTTCAGGAACATAAAAGTTCTAGAGATAGGTGGGGAGGCGTTGGTTGCACAATGTGTGAATGTACTTAATGCCACTGGTACACCTAAGAGGATCAAATGGCAAATTTCATGTCTTTTTAAAATTTTACCATTTTCATGAGTCTGTATGTGTATGCATGTTCTGCGTGGATGTAGACACATTTATGTGGGCGCATGCACATATGTGTATGCATATGTGCCCGAGCTTGGTGTTGGGAATCATCCTTGCTTGTTTTTCTTATCCACTGAGGCAGCATTGCTCAGTCGAGCGCTCTTCAACACGGCTGATGTTTCTAGCTAATTTGATCTGGAGAACCCCCATCTCTGACTTCTGAGCTATACTTCCAGGTCATTCCTACTCAGCATTTACATGGGCTCTGGGAATCCCAACCCCAGTCCTTAGACTTGCACAGCAGGCACTTCAATTGCTGAGCCATCTTCCCAACCCATCATTTTACATCTTTATTAGCATAATAATAATAATAATAATAATAATAATAATAATAATAATAATAGAGCAGTCTGCTGAGGGGAGAAGCAAGCCCTACTTGCCCACTAGTGTTATTTTAAGGTCCCAGAGGGAAACCGTTGAAAAGTATTGCCAGGCAATCCTTTGACGGGGCTGAGGCCAAAAGATCCAGCCAACAGCGGGTGTTGTGGCCATCTGTGTCCCTGGGGTGCACAACCACAAAGTCAAGCAGTCATGGATGGAAAATATTCAGGGGAAAATGAATTATGTCAGAGAGGCCTTGTTCCCTGTCCTTCCTAAGCAGAGCAGAGGGACAAGTAGTCACAGCACTTGTCGTAGGTGCTGAGCGCCACCTAGAGATGACTTGAGCACACGGAAGGACATCCATGGGCCATATGCAAGTGCTATGCTACTTCAGGTGAAGGCGTCTAGCATCTATGGATTTTGGTGCCTAACGGGGTCTAAGCCAATGCCCTATGACCACGAAGGGACAACTGTTTTTCCTCCCGTTTCTTTGACAGTGCATTTCCTGGTTCTGCCCTTTCTGCTCGCCTTTCCATCCCTGCCCTGTCTCCTAGAATCCTTTTTCTCTTCCCTGCTTCTGACCAGCCTCCATACTCTGGATTTGGTCCTCTCCTGCTCTCTGGCCCATGCCTCCTAGTGACTCCCTGAGCTACAGGGGTTCTCAAATTCCATCCACCTAAGTTAAGCTATGGGGTCCATCCACCCATCCAGATGTCCTCTCAGAAACTCAGTCAGCAAGGCCAGCATCTCCACTGCAGTTCCAGGGGACACTCTTGCCACCAACTGTCACCATCCTCAGGTTCGAGTCCTGATCACCTGCAGGGCCATCTCCTGCCCTCCAGCACCTGCTGCTGGTCCAGGCATACCTCCAGAGGCTCTAACTTGGGGCCTGCTCTCCATCCCCTACGACTGCTTGCTCCAGAGCCTAACAGTCTTCATGTCAGCACTGTCAGCATTTCCCCACATTCTCCAGAACCCACTCCCTGAAGCTACACTTTTCCTTTGTTCTCTGTTTGAAGCCCTTCCAAGGGCCCCAAGCCTGCTGCGTAAGAATCGGTCCTCCCGTGTAGTTTAACAGTCCCTGACCCTGAACCCACCCTGACTCCAGGAGAGGTGGGGGCACCTAACAAGCATCATCTGTGGATGGGATTAGTGCCCAGCTCCTGGAGAGCGGGTTAACCTCACAGGACTGGGCGAGTTATAGGGAGAAAGATGGCTAAAAAGTGAAGTCGCTCCATGTACTGCACATGTCTCCCACATGCCGTGAGACCCTCTCCAGATGCAGACACTCAAGCCTGGACATTTCCTTCAGCCTCCAGAACCAGAATCCACAAGAAACTTCTTGTTCTACAAAAGATCCAATCTCTGGTATTCAGTTAAACCGACTCAAAACACACTGACAGCAAGGCACCACAGACGTGAAGCTGCTATGCCATAACTTTCTCATTCGATCATCTGTGTGCACTAGAAGGAAACTCTGAGGAGGGGACAGGGGACACCCCATCTTCCATTCTAGAAAGGGAAAGTGAGGCTGAGCATATGAGAGTGGACGGTAAAGCTCGAGAGTCCCCCGAGTTGGCATGGAGATGTCACCGTTTACATATGGACACCGAAGACCTGGAGGACTCTCTGCTTCCACCTTGGTACACAAGTCTGGACAAGCCACTTCGCTTTGAGGACTCAGTTTACCCATCCATGGGAAAAGGGATTTGAAGAACCATTTTCCTGTCCAGTTCTGCTATCAAGGAAGTCACCACTGTCCTTCCCAGGCATTCAGGCTCATAGCCTGGCTGGCTGCCTACACTTACCACATGGTATGATGGTCTGAGAAGATGTCTGCAGGCTGGAAGAGTTCACCATCATAGTAACAGGGACACTGGGCCTTGGGCACACAGTTCCCTCTTTCATCCTGGTAGAGCCCTGGCGGGCAGAAGCAGCCTTCAAGACAGACTTCATTGCATTCCTCATCCGGGTAGGAGAGGGAGCGGCAGGTCAGGTTGCAGGAATTCCCACACTGCAGGTACACCTGGCCCTGTGGGCAGCCCAGCGCTGGAGACAGGAAACAGAGGAAGGCATCAGATATGATACTGTACCTTACAGCTGTGGCCACTGCTGTAATCGTATGGTCATAACCATCCCTTCCCACTCTGAGCAAAGGTTAATCTTCAGGTGCAAAGGTGTGCATGGAAATTGTGGGTACACACATTTTCTCTCTTTACCCAGAGAGAGCAGGCTTTCCTTGCCTGGGAATTCTCCAAGTCTAGAATACTACAGTCCTGGAGAAATGGGCGTGATGGTCAGGAGCATGTCCACGGTGAGGACAATAACGGCTGCAGTCTCTGAGCGCCTACTATGCCCTCTGCTCCTCACTGACTTAGCTCCCATCACTCCCTTCCTGCTCTCTTCTCCGTAGATGCCAATACTTGAGCTAAGAGGCTTAAGGATCTGGCCTCTCGGGGAGCAGAAGTGACCCCAACATTCTGCGTCCCTAAAGCTCATGTCCTTACCCATTACACTTCAAGAAGGGAACAGTCTCTCTGAGGACATACAAGTCAGAAGCAGGGACACTTATGCCTACCCCCCAACAAAGTGGGCAGCCTCTGTCTGCTCACAGCCCTCACCTCCCCCCCTGATGCCAGGCTTCCACACAGAAATGAGAAATACTGTATGGTTATGTAGAACAAAATGCTGAGGCAGCTAGAGAACGGGCTCTGTACCCCATGTCCCCAGGTTCGAATCACAGCTTCACCACTAGTTAGCATGGAACTCTGGAGCACCGTCCACAGTGGAATGGCGCAATGATATCCACTGGGTCTTTGTGGAGGTTAGATGAGCCTACCTGTCACAGATGTTCACTGTTATTGTCATTGTGACCTTGGAAGGGAGTCCCAACCCAGCTCAGCAGGCTCAAGATGGTAGACATATTCCAGAGAGAGATCTCAACCTCAGAAGACCTGACCCTTCCTTCCTGCACTGTGCCCATTAGAACACTGTGGTCTAATGAACACACCGATGATAAAAGTGGGAAGGTAAGAAGAGCCCTTTACCCTTGCCTGTGGGTTGCTGTACAGGAAATGAGATCTGGGCACAGCCTGCCCAAGAACAATAGAACCTTCCTTCTCTGTGACAGTCCCTTTCTCCAGCAGATACCCACAGACAGAACATTCCAGAGAAGCTGAGAGAGTCATCCCCGGCCATGAATCTCTGAAGAGACCCTGAGCCTCTGTCTCCTACTAGTGCCTCAGCGCTGTATCTTAAGTTATCTGGGAAAGCAGCAAATCCCTAGTCACGTGAGTCACTGGCTTGCTTTCTTCTGGAGGAGTGGAGAGGCTGGGACCCTGAATGAATGCTATACAGCAAAGGTAGGGTGACGTTGGGGCATACTAGCCCACAAAGGCAGCCGCTCCCTTCAACCCACAATCCACCTCATGTCCAATAGCCAGGGCACTTCTCGTGCAGTGAAGAACAGCTGGGGTGGAGGGCCCTCCCCACCAGTGGGGCCTCTCCAGAGGGAGCATCCAGGTTCATCCAGGTTCTCCTTGAGCTTCCTTTCTTCTGGAAACCATTCACACCTCAGTTTAGCCGAGATGTGCAAAGCCAGGGCTGTGCAAGGCTCAGGGACACCAATGAACGGACTTGGTCTCTGCCTTCAGGGAGCCCATGGTCTTGCCTTCCCAAAGGAAACAGCCACTTTACAAGGACAGGAAGGTGTGTGCTGCCCCTGACTCTCTTTGGGGCATTACACAAAAGCAGCCACATGGCATGTTCTTGTCCCTTGATTGTCCCCAGTGACATTTTTCTGAATGGAGGCAGTGGTTTGGGAGCTCTGTCCATTTCTCAAGAAGGAAGAAAAAGGTCAAAGACCAAGAGACAGTAAACCTAGGCTCCTCTAAGTAAGGAAAGTCAGAGGCCAGAAGCCAAGGGACTGGCCCATTCTCCTTGGACTCAAAGAAGCAAGCCAAGGCCATCAGCCACATAAACTCCCAGGGACAGGTCCCTCTTGTCCTTAAACATCTCCTTCCTGCACCCACAGCTGTCTCAGAAAGGCTCTGAAGTCACTTAACTGAGTCACTCCTATTTTTTTCCCAAGACAGGGTTTCTCTAAGTAACAGTCCTGGCTGTCCTGGAACTCGCTCTGTAGACCAGACTGGACTTAAACTCAGAGATCCACCGGACTCTGCCTCCCTGCCTCCCAAATGCTGGGATTAAAGACGAAAGCCACCACCACCCAGCAAGTCGCTCCTATTCTTAAATGAGTCACTCCAATTGCTGCAACACCAGCCAGCTCATTGCCCACGTTCTCTTCTGAGGAGGTGGCAAACAACTGTCCCTGGGAGATGAAAGAATGTTCCAGAAGGCTCTTGGCCTTCAGGGAGAATGTCCTCCACTAACATGGCCTTCTGATGCCATCACATTGCTCACAGCTAGTTCCGAATTCCTAACACCGGTGAGCAACAGAAACACATTCACAAACATCACACCACTGACTGGCTTCCCAGTTGCTGGACGGCAGACACGAAGAAGTTTTGAGCCCTCGAGTGAAGGGCTCAGGGTCACAGGGCTGCTAGCCCACAGGTGAACTTCCAGAAAAGCAAGCCTGGGCTCCCAGCATTCGCTCCATCCCGGGGCTAGAGGAGGGGACAGCGTGTCCCCTTCATCCCAGCTTTCACCATCCGTTCCTCTCTGTAGAGACTGCTCAGACCAGCACAAGCTCAGGAGACACCATTACTGACACATGCACCGCTTTTCAAATGCATAATGCCAGGTTTTTTTTTCACCATGGCTCCACTGTTCCTTGCTTCCATCAGGACAGCCATTGCAGTCTCCAAACACAGCTGCCTCACCCTAAAAGTCAGAATTCTGCCTAGGTTACTCTTCCAGACTGTCTGCCTCACACCCTTGCTCTGCTAACTTTTCTCCACCACAAATGCACCTTTGTAAAACTGTGGTCAAGAACACCCTCCCCAGAGGGTGCCCCTCGGCTACCCCTGCCCTTCATCCCTTCACTCTGTGTGACTGATGGGCTTCTCCGAGGGAGGCCTCAAAAAGGAAGCCTCGAGATTCCATCTCCCAGTTGTCTGAGACTGGACACTGGCCAAATGTCGCCAGAGAAACAACAAAGCAGTAAGCAAAGTCTAATTGCCCAGGGGCTCACAGTGCAGGGGAAAAGGCCAGCTCTGATGGCAGGAATCTACCACAGCAGAGGACAGATGCAAATTCAACTAGAACAATGGCATTATTCAACGCTACATAACTTTATACAATGCCAAAGACGTGGGCCAGGACTCACTGAAATTAAAAGCAAAGGATTCCTGCATTCCAAACTCACTACACAGCCTGACCATACAAGGAACGAACACTAGGTGGTAGCAGTTACAGGCAATCTGAGCTAGGCCCGGGCTCACTCCAAGGTCCCTTGGCTTCTAAAAAGGGGTTCCACTTGCTTTTACACTGGAGCAGAAGGCAGGGGGAATGGCTACAAATGAACTGCAGGCACAAGTCTGTCACTGGGACCTGTTTCCAAATGAAATAATTTAAAGAAAGCGCCTTTGAACTCAGACCCAGGAGGTGCCAGAAGAGTTTGGGTGGGTTGCCTAAAGGAGGTTAAGCGTTTATGGGGCACTCACCACAGAAGTCTGGTTCCCGCCACCCGATGTGCACGCCTTTTCGGGCACACGCAGCAGCATAGTTGGCCACCGCACTACACAGGCAATCCCGGCCATCAGAGCAGGAGCAAACATCATAGCGGCAGTTCTGCAGGTAGGGCAGAGGACTGATGGCATGGTGGCAGGCCTCGAACTTGGAGGACGTCAGGAGAGCGCAAGCCTCCTCTGCAAACCTGGCTGTCGTGGAGAGAAGTGCCAGCACCGGATAAGACAAGGCCCTGCCAAAGCCCCTGGGGCCAACCACAAGGGACTCTCACAACCATATCCCACCCCTACCCCTACCCCTACTCCACTCCTACCCAGGAATAGAACCCAACTCCCTTTTCTGTTGACAGTCACTGTAAAAGCAAGTCTCTCTGGCTCTGGCTTCTGGTGCCAATTTAGTGCCCTGTGTTTGACACAGTTACAGGTAAAAATGCATTTCCCAAACACCCACTGATTGGAGACAGTGGTCAGAGCGCAGAAGCTAATGAGAGCAGAGACCCCACAGCTCTGTGTCTGCATGGGGCCACTGCAATGCACATTGCACAATAATTCAAGTCTGAGCTCCCATGCCCGTTGCTGCTCTAGACTGAGACCTCCCAGGGCCAGAAACAACACAATATTCTCTTCTTTCTCAGGATTTCATCCATGGAGAGTGTTCAATAAACAGACTTTGAAAAGGAAATGAGCCAAATGTAGATATGGTCAGAACACCAATGGCCAGGCAGGGCTCGCCTTTAATCCCAGAACTTGGAAGGCAGAGGCAGGCTGATCTCTGTGAGTTCCAGGCCAGCCTGGTCTACAGAGCGAGTTCCAGGACAAGCTCCAAAGCTACACAGAGAAACCCTGTCTCAAAAAAAACAAAAACAAAGTGCCAATGGTCAAAAGACAAGCTGGGTCAATTGTGTCTCTGCCTCCCCCAGAGTATACTGTCCCATGGAATGCCTGGACCATGGGAGACCCCAGGGCTCTTGGGCTCTCATACTCAGGCGCGGGTTCAGGCTGCAGGGGTCGCTGTGCTGCATATGCAGGTCCGGACAGTCCCCTTGAAGCTTCCAGGCGTTTCCGAAGTCCACCACCAGGGGCTCCACTAGGCCCGCAGGCGTGAGGAAGTCGTCGCCCTTGTTGCCGTTGTAATTCCCACACAAGCCACAGGTCTTCCCAGAGTAGACAGGGGACAGCTGCAGAAGACAGAAGACAGACATCCCTAGAGCAACTGTCCCCAAACCCAGTGGTGGCACCACTCGGCTAATGAGATTGTTTCAATCAAAAATTCCCCCAGGTGAAAAATAAATATTTACGACAACTAAGCTCTGCGCTGCAAGGTATATAGGGCATGGTACCAAGCCTGGGCTTGCCCTTCAGTCACGGGGCAGAGAACAGTCAGCCAGAGTCAGCTAGATCACTCCAAGAACTATATTAATTAATTATCTATAATATATTAAATATATTTATAAATATTACCTACTGTATTGTTAATTATTATATTAAAATGTATTAATGATCACCTTTAAGAGTTCCGTATATATAATATAGTCACTTTGGAAGGCACAGTGGAGGCCCAGAGAGAAAAAGGACTTGCCTAAGATCCCAGAGAGAGTGGCAGAGCTGGGAAGAGTAAGGTTCAATCTCTCAGATTCGTGTGCTTTCTCTACCCATGTCTATCAGTGGACATAAGCTAAGCAGCAATGAGAGGAAGTGGAAACTGTCCACCGCACAGGTATTGGTCACAAGTGGGCAAGGCAGACTGAGCGGAGTGAGATCCAAGCCGCCCCCCCCCCCCAACTCAAGCCTGGTGTCAGGAAACAAGACCTTCCTTATAATCTCCTGCTGAGGACCCTGGGGAGGAAGCCAGCTCAGATTCCATCCCTATCACTCATTCTCTGATCAGACTTCAGGGGTGAGCCAGAGGTTTGAGTCCAAAGTGCACATTCAGGACCAAGTAGTGGGGTGGGAGCAGCCTTTTCCCCGGCAGCTGAGGCACTGCAGGTTTCTATGGTTTAGATTGGAAGCGGTAGTAGGGACCAGACCCAAAAGTCCACTCTATGGGTAATCAGTAAAACCAGGTAACAATTCTAATGTCCCAAAGCCTCATGAGTTAGGCCCGGACTCCTGTAGTCACCTCTGGGAGCCCCTTCTAGCTTCCAGCTATGACTTAACAAAGTACATACAGAGGATTCCAGACCCACAAACATGTATGCAAGTAAGACAGGTAGACAGAGTGGTGCTTCCTTGTTTGTTTTAACAAAGGCCAAGTGTCACATACTCTAGGTTCTGAGACCTTCCCTGAGTTCCCTACCTAAAACTAAACCACCCTGGCCCTTCCTGCCTCTTCCCTGCCTCACTTCTCTCCCCAGGCTTTATTCTAATAGATAATATAACAGACTTTTTGTTTTGTTTATTATCTGTCTTCCTCATTAGAATTCAACTAAACGAGGCAAGCATTTTGTCTGCCGTTTCACTGTTATGCCTTCATCATCTCTAATACAGCGGTGTCTATCTTCTATTCAGGTTGCTCTAACAAAATGCCCTAGACTGGGAGGCTTATAAACAACAGAAACCATATCATCTGAAGGCTAGGAACTAAGGTCAAACTGCAGCAGATGCAGCATCCACCCAGCAGGGGCTCTGTTCATAAATGCTGGCTTCTTGCTACATAGCTCATGGCAGAAGGGGCTGGCTGGCTCCCTGGAGCTCATTATAAAGGCATTAATCACATTCTTAAGGGCTGGCCCTTAATGAATTCATCCCTGCCCCAAGGCCTACCTCCTAACACCTTGAGTGAGAGTGAAGGAGTGAAGATCACAACACAGGAAGTTTACTGGGACACCCTAATATTTTTCCGAATTGAATAATAGGTGGGATGAATGAAAAACTAAGAATTACCACAAAAATAGGCTTCTTCCTGAAGCCAGATAAAACAGTGAAGGCTGTCAAGCTTACCAGAGCAAAGTGGTAGCAAGTGACTCCCCCACTTCTCAGCATCTTTCTCCCCTTCCCTTCTTGGACACACCGGGTACCCTCAGGCTCCCCAGAGTCCCCTTGACCACACTCACTTGCCTTAAGTCACTACCATCAGCCACTCGGAGCATGTTTTTTTCTCTCTGTCCCCTTGGCCTGTCTTAGGGGACAGATGGTCAGGGATTGGAAGAGAGGGCGTGCCCAGGACATTTTGAGAAACAGGCCTCAGCTCTATGACAATGGGGACTGTCCCAGGTCCTCACAGGACTCTGCTGGGGCTGACCCTGGCCTGCAAGGTAGTCACTTGCAGGTTGACCATGTCCCTACTGCCTGAGGTGAAGGCATGCATATCACACACACATAGAAAGAGGATGAGGGCCCCCACAGTACTCCAGGCCTACCTGCCTCCATTCAGCTCCTCCCCCAAGCCCCAGGGGTCAATTTGAATGCCCCCCATACCCTCGAACTCCTCACAAAGTTACCTTTTCATAGCAGAACCAACAGTAGGATACTCCCATCGTCATCAGATTTTCTCATTCTTCGTTGTAACTAAACTAATCAAACTCCACCCCAGAGACGACCCTACAGCCCATTCTACAGATACAGGTCTAGCTTTCTCCTCTTCAGAGAGACAAGAACAGAGCAACCTGAGATAAAGACAGGCAGCTGCCCAGGGTGGGAGGTACAGAAGTAGAAGCCACACAAAGCCGGCACACCCACCCTGCACCGTAGTGGATGCTGGGAAGGTAGACTCCCAGCAAGCACTCCCTGGAAGCCTGGTGAACAGAAGACAAGTTAGACCCAGACCCAGAGACCCACGGCATATAACCAACTGACGTTGACACACCCGCCCATCAAGTCGACGTGCTCCTAGTAGAGCCCGGTCTCCAGTTCTCACTAGAAGTGGGGACAAGAGGCTTTTCCTGGTCCCTGCTGCATGATTACAGCTATTTTACAAAAGAAAAACGAAGTTCATGTGGGCCTCCCTTGGAGGCTCTGCAAAGGGGGATTGAACATGGCCACATGGAAATGGTAGAACTTGCAACACCCACCACTGAGTTACAGCAAGGACCCTGGGGAGCAGGGAACCCAGGATGTAGCACAGCCTCTCCAGGCATCCTAGGTCTGCCCTAGAATGCCCTTTCTCAAAGTGTGGTCTTGGGACCCGTGAGGGTCTTTTGAGGTCCTTTCCAGGTGTCTTAGAACATTTTCAGAGCTACATGATCTTGCTCTTGTCTTTCTGCTCTCTTTCTCCTACAAAGGACAGAGTGGAATTTTCCAGAGGCCCTGTGACATGAAACATTGTAGCAGATTGATTGCAGAAGTAGATATGAGAATCCAGCTGTCTGCTATTAAATGAATCGGTAAAGAGATTTGCAGCCATGTGCAGCCATGGCATTCTTCTTACAGCCTAGTGTTGTCTCCTGATCCCTGTCTAACTTATTTTTCCAAAAGAAAATGCTTACAAATGTCTGCTGGGTAACAAGTGTTACATTGTAAATGAGTTAGTGCATGTTTTAACATCTCTGGGTTGACTTTTCTGCTGTTTAGGATTTAGTTTCTCTGTTTATGTTGGGGTCTTTCAATGGAGCTCAGGTTGGTTGAAATACACTGTTAGCCCAGGATGGCCTCCAGCCCCTGTCTCATCCTCCTCGGCCCTATGATGTGTCACTATGCTCAGCCTTGATGTAAGCATGAGTCCCATGTCAGCAGATATGTTCTCACTAAAGATCTCAGGGACCCTCCTCAGTCATTCTTAAGAATCTAACAGCATCCTGAGGCCAGCCACTGAGGACCACGGACTAATGGGAGGACTCCAGCCAGAGAACTAGCTCTCATTGTACTATGACTGAATGTGGGCTCCTGGTGCGTCTCCATGTCCCCTGGCTGCCTCCCTTAGGAAATAGCACTAATGATTGCAATTCCTACTCTATCCACCTGCCAGGACTTTGCAAGGTCAGCAAATCTAGAAGCCCAGGGAAATTCACGTGTTACTGTCCAGTCTAATTAGAGAATCCATGCAGAGGACATGGCCCACACATGCATCAGCTCAGTGCTTAGTAGGGAATATGGGTGATGCCCCTGCAGCCTTCTCCAGATGCTGTATGGGAGGATACAGGGTCTGAGGTGGGTGCTCCAATCTGGTTCTTCCCTTGCTCCCCACAGTGAGCGTCCAGGGAACACCCCTTGATCCAAGGTCTCACTGCAGCCAGGAAACTGGCCTGCAAATCCGCCTTGATGCCAGTCCTCCAGGGGACTGACATCCATTGTGAGATCAGCACAATACAAGGGAGAACCCCTAGAGCCAACAAGGAGCACCCAGAAAAGAGACATCAGCTTCTCACACACAGAGAGGCCTGTTCCTTGCTCTGGGGGTGTAGACTGTGAGGAGAAAGAAATTCTTCTCCTACCACACAAAGTTTCCCAGAGCACAAGGGGTACTTTGTAAAGGTTGGACAAGCTGTAGCTTGGGCAGGGACCTACCTTAACCAGTAGCCTCCCACGGCCATCCCAGTCCATCTGCAGGTCTTCCTCATAGCTGAGACGTACAGAAGCCATCACCGTGTGCTGGATGCGGAGGTCACCTAGAAGAGGACAATAGGTTCAGGTGTGTTGTGAGTCTGTGATATTTCAAAATATCATGGAAATGACAATTAAGGGGTGAAAGGCAGAGAGGCGTCCATGAGACTAGGGGGGAGGGTGCGGTGGGGGGGCTCTCTGGAGGAATGGTGGATTCAGTGGATAGAGGTAAATAAGTTTGTCTGGTCTGCCACAACCTGTCATACCCCTTATGGACATAAAAAGACAAAAGAAGCTCCAGCCTCCTAACTTCAGACCAGAGCCAGGGCTGAGGGAATCCCCTGTGCTTGGTGTTTGTCAACTAGAGTCTCCTGGAAGAGAATCTCAATTGAGAGAATGCTTCCATCACATTGACCTGTAGGCATGTCTGTGACAGTCTCTTGATTGTTGCTTGATGTGGAAGCCGCAGTGCTATCTCCTGGGCAGGTGGCCCTGGGAGGTATAAGACAAGTGACTGAACACCAGCCTGGGGAGCAAGCCAGTAAACGGCCTTCCTCCTGCTCGAGGTCCTGCCTCCCTCATGAGGGAGCTATGAGGTGGAAATGTGAAATGGAATAAACCCTTTCCTCCCAAGTTGAATTTGATCAGTTTGTTGTTTGTTTGTTTATTTTTCACCTCAGCAACAGAAAGGGTCTATGACAACCACTAAACCTAATGCTTGAGCATGCCTGGGCCCCCATTGGATTCCAGGCAGTCCTACTGGCTGACGGTCGCTGTGTGCAAAGCTGACTGTAGCAAAGTCTGCTGCTGTGGGAAGGTGGAGATGTGAGCTGCCTCGCCTTGGAGGAATACATCAGCTCCCTGGGAGTCACACTCAGCAGACATGCGCATGAATACACAGTGCGCTCTCATGCCAAGTTCAGCCACTGTGTGCCAAGATAGAGCTACGGGCTCCAAGAGAGACACGGTTCATGGAGGAGAGAGATCTGAAAGCTGCTTAGAAGGTAAAGTGTGGGAGTCTGTGTGCTACAAAGTCAGGTAATGTGACCCGGGTGAGAACATGGGACGAGAAGGTTTATCTCGTGAGGCACTTGCCCCAGGTAGCATCCTTTAAACTAACCATTCGTCTGTCACCCTGGACCCTTCAACCGGGTCAACCTCTGCTTCAGGAAGCCTTTGCTTGCAGAGTCACAGTACCCAGGACACCACCTCCCCTCCCCAACTAAATCCCCATCAGGTTCCCAGGAAAGAAGCAGGTGCCCTCAGAGGGCAGAGACAGATGTTGAGATGAACATCTCATACAGTATGGAGGAGGGGGACCTGAGCTCACCTTGCAGGAAGGGAATCTGGACATCCTGGCCATCAATGGCGACTCCTCCCCCATGTTTCAGCTTCACAAGGCTGTTGTGCAGGGCAGATAGCCGCAAGGTGACTGAACGGGTGCAGACAGCATCCGGGTCATCGGCACACTGACAAGTGGAAATGCAGAGTGACCTTCCCACAGCCCCTGCCAGCCCAGTCCCCAGCCTCAACTCCAGAGTGTGTGGGCCTCATTGAATAGCACTCTTCCATTCTCACGGATGCTGCAAGTATAGGGTGCCCAACGTCGTGCAAGAAGGTCCTAAGGCCAAGCCATACTCACACCCTTGCCCATCCTTGCACTGTTTTTTTTTTTTTTCAATGAACTTTAGCCCTCAGGTTTTCTTATTCCTTGGACCTACTAAGCCAAAACAATCAGGGGTTTCCCCCAGGGTGGAAGTCCCATAACTGTCCCCATCCTTGCTTCGCTACCTAGAGAGTACACACCTGTACTGTGGCACTCATAAAGGAGGGGACCCTGCTGCTGCCCACCTGTCCACCCCAATCTACCTTCAGTGTCAAAGAGCAGAGGTTTACAGAGGTGCGGATTAGACCTGAGGGGCTGACCCTCCTGAGTAACAAGGCTAAGTTACCAGTGGCTAAGAAGAGGAAGGCAAACTGGGCTTGCACAAGGCGACTGAAGACTGAACGAAGATATCCATCCCTTCTGTGCTTAGGACAGATGCTCCAGCCTCTGGGACATTGCCCTCTCACCACGAGGCTCTGCAGGCCTCCTGACAGGCACCTTGGCCAAGCTCACCTGCACGGTCTCTATGACAATGGAGAAAGAGTGGTCTTGGCAGTCCCGGGCCAGCAGGTACTGGCAGATCCCACTGAAGGTGAAGTACCTGTTGTCAAAGCTCTTGAAGTGAGATTGGCCTGTGACAAGACACTCACCTGGAAGGACCCAGAAGAAGGGGTGAGAGGAGAGGCTCTGAGTTGGGAAGGCGGGTGAACATAAAAACAGTGTGGCCCTCCCCCAAGGTTCCCTGGTGTCCTTTCCCTGTGACAATCAAAACTGAGTGCTGGCAAAGAACTGTAAATGAGTTTCTGCTCTCAAACAGCAAGATGTCAGAGCTGGGCGTGGGTCGATGCCCCTTTTTACAGACAGAGCGACTAAGGAAGATGACTATGAAGCTGAATTCAGTCTACAATGGAGTCAGGACCTGAACTCGCAGCTCCCAGTTCTGAGCTCCTGCCCCTCACTTCTTTCCTGATGCGTCCCCTGCAGGGCCCCAAGCTTCCCTGCTCAGGGCCAGGTCAGCTGCAGGTGGCAGCCTGGAAGCCTGGGTAAGAGCTCTGCTCAGCAGGACAGGAGAGAACGCCTAGAAGCACAGCTCTCACTAAACTGGCCTATGGAGGGACCCGGGGACAGTCTTACCCCAAAAGCCAGAGGCAGAAGTGTGAAAAAGGCAGTCTGGCTCAGTGCCAATCAGAGATTCCATCCCTTCTCCTAGCCTAGCCAACAGGGAAACCAGCTCAGATGGGGGGCGGGTGGGTAGGGGGGTAGGCGAGCCGGGGCAAGGAGACTACCTGCACATGACATAGCCAGGAAGCACCCACCTTCACAAACCACATCCCAGCCCAGGCTAATACATCTGCAGATGGAGACTCTACAGCCCCCTCCTACATAGCTGTGGTTTTGCCACTCGGTCTTCCAGGGGTTCAACCATAATCTCACACGTCCTAGAAAACACCCATGCAGAAGAGGCCCTGCCATTGTTTCTACCCAGCTTGGGGAAACTCCATCCTCAAAGCCGGAAAGGGGCCCTGTGGCTAAAACAGGCATCATGCTCTCTTGCCAATCTCTATCTTAATGTTGGTGCTACCTTCTCTCATCTCCACCCTTAGAAATTGTGGAGGATTCTATAGAAACTGTGTCCCATGAAAGAGTGGCCTCTTGCTACCCACTACCACTGGCTCCACACAGCCATGGCTAGGTTCTCCATACACAGCTCCCCCGAAAGGTCCCCACAGCTCCACCTGGGCCCATCTCTAGGGCTGGTGCTGAGTCCTAACACAGCCTGGGCATCCTGTCAGGCTGCAGCAGGATTTCTGCTGCCCACATGACAAGGACAAGAAACAGAGGACCCCAGCGTCTGCCCTCTCATCAGTGTTCTCAGTAACAGGCAGACTGGACCAGGCTAACTGTACAACTTTGAATTCAGGTGTGGCTCTGCCTTAGGAATATTTGAAGGTTGGGCAAAGGCAAGTACCCTGAGTGGACAAGTCTGGCCCCCAGGGCAACTGCTTGCTTCCAGGATGGTAGGATGGCCAGTGACCAAAACCAGCCTGGTGACCATGAAAGAAATAGGGAGAGCCCAGCTCACTCTCGTCATGTCTTCTCTCATCCCATGTCCTGCAAACAGGCAAGAGTGGAGTGAATCTGGCAGAAAGCTGAACAGCAACACGATGGAGCCAAGGGTCACCCCAGCCCATTGTGAAAGTCCTGGACTCCAGCGATGTCACAGGAAGGCCCTTCTTAATGAATATTTTTCTTAAGTCACCATGGTTGAACAAACAGAGCAATGTGGCCGTTTATGTCAAATGTCCTGACCTGGCTGCAGTGAAGTGGGTGGGGTTCTTCCCCCAGCCATCTCCATTCTCTCGGGAACACTCTTATCTGAGTGTGAAACCACACTTCCACTCTCTCTGACAATGCCCAGGGAGAGAGGGTCAACGAGAAAGCGCTGCAGCTATTGGAAAGGAAAACGTTCGGGCCTGGCATCTAATCCCCGCATCTGGCTTCTTTCTGACCCTGCTGATTGCTTTCTCAGCAATCACAAGTCTAAATATTATATGGAGCTTATCTCCTTGGTACAATTGAGAAACCGAGCTGCAAACACAGGAAACCTGGGGAAATGGACGGGTGAGCTGCCGGGTAGTAGCTGGCCAACGAACTAGAACATCCAAGCAAACAATGAGCCACATGGCGAAACTCATGCTCCTCGGCCATGCCCAGAGCAGGACAGCTAGGGTTCTTGTGCACAGGCAGGCAGTGAAGGCAGCCGCCAGACATGAGATGAGCAAAGGAATGAAAAGTAAGAGGTTCTTAAAATAGCATACAAGGTAGAGCCTTCTAATGTTAAAGCAAGGCCATGCCTGTGTAAAGACACCCCCCAGAGAGAAAAAGGA